AAAAAAAAAAAAAAGAATGGGGCACCTGGGTGGCTCAGTCAGTTAAGCGTCCAACTTCAGCTCAGGTCGTGATCTCGCGGTTCGTGGGTTTGAGGGTCACATCAGGCTCTGTGCTGACAGCTCAGAGCCTGGAGCCTGCTTCAGAGTCTGTCTCCCTCTCTCTCTCTGCCCCTCCCCTGCTCGTGCTCTGTCTCTCTCTCTCTCTCTCAAAAATAAATAAACGTTTTTTAAAAATTAAAAAAAAAGAATACAACCATTTGCATGACAGAAGGTGTCAAGCAAGGTGTCTGTCACTGAGCTGTGACAGAACATGAAATGACGGCAGACACGGCGGGAAGGAAAGACAGACGGAGCTGGAAGGCCAGAGGAGCAGGGACAGTGATAGCGGAAAGACAGAGGACGCGGCAGGCTCTCGCGAAGGCTTCAAGGCGGGTGCTTGTGTGCGGGGGCGGGGAGAGCCACGCACACGGGGAGGGGACACTGAGAGGACCAGGTGACGACACAGGCCAGGGGCGGCCCCCAGGAGCGAAGGAGCGGCCTCACCTCTCTCTAAGGGCCGGGTTTCGCAGGTCCGAGATGAGCGGCATGGTCCTCTTGAACTGCTCTATTTTCCAGCGAGTGGTTTCGATCACTTCCCAGTTGCGGTCCTGGGCAAAACAACGGAAGATGTCAGAAGCCCTGACCGCCTTCCCCGCACGGGCCCATCCCCCGGCCCTCACTCCGTCCTCCACGCGCCTTGTACTCTTTGGCTAGTCTGGTGAGGCGGCGGAACAGCCCGTGCGCCGTGGTCTCCATGGCCTCTGTCTTCAGGGTCAGGAACCGGCCCGTCTTCCACTGGTTCCAGTGCTCCTCCCAGTCCCGCGTGATCTCCCAGACTTGCTGCAGGGCGTCTAGTTCCTTCACGGCCAAGGGCAGAAGATGCATGAGGTGGCAGGACTCCCCCCCCCTTCCTCCCTGACAGACACGCGGGTCCTCTGCCCCCCTCGTTCACTCCGCGTCATAGGGCTGCCTCTTCGGGTCACGTCCCTTTCTCCGCCGCCTTGCCTCAGGGGCTCGTCAAGTGACAAGCCCGGGAAAAGATCCTCAATGTCCAGGCCCGGCAGGACGGCTGGCCCCAAGAAAGGGCGTGGGGTGACGATGTGTCCGCGAGGCCGCGGAGAAACGGAAGCCTCGCACTACGTCGCTGGTGGGCGCTGGTCCGGCCCTTAGGCCGCAAGCTCCTTCCCCTGCCCCATCCTCTGGTTACCACAAGGGCCCGGCCCGGCACACCACCTTCTCCAGGTTCTGCAGGTCCTTGGAGACTGGCTGTTCGATCTTGAAGATGCCCAGGTTGGAGCGGAGACTCTGTTCTTCGTCCCGCATGGCATTCAGCATGGCCCGCGTTTGGGCAATCTGCTCGAGGGCGGACTGGTGCCCCACATTACTGGTGAAGGGGCCTGTGGGAGACCAGGGTGAGGCTCAGATGCCCTGCTCGAGGCCGTTGTCCCCTGGAAGGCCCGTCATGGCTCTCCTACCTCTCTGTGGGCACATCTCCCTCTCCTCACACGGGGAGGGGAAGGAAAACAAGAGGGAAAGCAAGACGGTCAACCTTGGCAAAAACCCTCAGACGTGGCTTGAGAAGCAGAAACGGGCAGGCCACGGGAAGGCGTGAGGAAACCAGAAATTCGGGCGCGCTCCAACCATCAGTCGGCGATGGCAGGCGCGGCCCCCACGGCAGGTGCGGCACCAAAGGCAGGTGCCAGGGCTCCTTCCCCTCCGCGGCACCGTCCTCCCTCTGCTCATCCCTGTTCCTGCCTCCCCGGGGACCTGGGCTTAGAAAGGCTGGGTCACAACAGAAGTAAGGGGAGAAGGGTCGAGAAAGGGGTACCTTTGGATTCAAAGTCTTCCAGAAGATTGTGGGCTTTCTTCTTGAAATCATCAGCCGAGTGGATGAGGCCCGTTTTGAACTTCTCCTTGTGTCTCTTTAGCATCTGCTCACTGTCCAGCAGCGTTTGTTGGAAGATGACCCACTCCCCGTTGAGGCTGTCCAGCATCTCCAGGACCTGGGGACGTCGACGAGGGGACCATGGCCCACGAGCAGGGGGTCTGCCCCTCTCACCAATGCTTTCCAGGCCTCCGTTCTGATCCTCCGGACCAGAGTCTGTGGCCAAGTTCCCCTTGCCGCGAGGCCCAAAGAAATGAAGCCACGAGCTGCCGCGCCTCAGAGAAATCCAGAAGCTGACCCAGATTATCACGGAGTTGGCTTTGGCTCTCAGGGGCCCTGGAACCTCGCACCTGCTGCCCGGCTGGCTCTTCAGCGGTCCCCTGGGACCGCACGGGGCCCGGCCCCTGGGGGCCCACGTCCCGCACGCCCCACCGCTGGTGCGGGCCCGCCCCGGCTGGACCGCACACGGGAACTCACGCTGTCCTGGACGGGCACCTCGTACTTCTCGAGGATGGCAAACTGCTCGTGGATGGGGGGGATCTGGGCCTCCATGCCGGGCAGGTCATGCTGCAGGGTCTCCAGGAGTTGCAGACTGACTCCCAGTTCCTCCAGCGTCTGGGGAGGGCGGCTGATTCTGGAGGCAGGCGGGGAGAGAGCCTGCGAGTGGAAGGGGCCGAGCCCGCCCTCCCCGCACCCCTGCCGCCCCAGCCTGTGCGCCTACTTCTCCGTGTTCTCCCTCAGGTAGGTGTGAAGCTCCAGGAGGTGCCGGGCCGCCATCTCCTTGAGCAGGGCCGTGAACTTGCCCTGCCACTCGTTGCAGTGCTGCACCAGCGAGAACTTGAGATGTGAGCAGTCCAGCAGCACAAACTGGATGTTGAGGACCGTCTCCTCCTTCTGCACGTTGTTAGCCACCTCGGCGTAGCTGCGAGGACCCACGTTCCCGCTCGTTCGGGCCGGGCCAGCGGCGGACGAACCCACGGCCCCGCGGCCAGTTCCGGTTCCAGTCTCTTACCCACCCCCACCCCCCAGACCCGTGTGGCAGCTCTGAGGCATCCCCCTGCTCCCGCGTCAGTGCAGCCCAGCCTTACGGCTGGGATCACGTCATTTTCCCAACCGCTGCCCCGGGGGCCGCCAGTCAGACTCCTCAGTCTGGCATTCGAGGCTTTAAAGTCGCACGAATCTGAGTTGAGCGCCCACCGCTGCTCCCGGGCTCGGTGACCTCAGGCAGGTTATTTACACTGTCCTGAGCCCCGATTTCCCGTCGATCACACGGCGATGTGAACAGAACCCCTACTGCTCTTGGGAGGGTGACACTGTCTGCTCGGTATAAAGCCCCCTGCACACCTCCGCTCCTGTACCTGTGTCCGAGACCGCTCGCTCCCTGCTGAACGCACTCACGTGTTCCCGTCTTTATGCCTTTTGGGCGCTGTTGTCTCCGCCCGGAATGCCCTCCCCGCTGCCCACGTCTGCCTGTGGAAACCCTGCCCACTCGGGCGAGCCCAGCCTCCCGTCACCATCACCCCCTTCGCGAAGCCTCTCCTGACGTCCCGGCTGGACTCTCTCTCCTTCCACCCCACCGCCCCGGCGCCCCATATGCCTGAGCCACGGCCCTCACCCCCTGAAGCCTGGGTAATGAGCACCTCCGCACGGGGCTTCGGGGCCCGCGAGGCGCTTTCTCGTATACTCGATGACCTCGCAACCTTGGCAAGTAGGAAAGGGTCACACCTGCTTCCCAGGACCCTGGGGGCCCAGGGGGCACGGGCCGCCTGCCGGTTGGCGGTCTTCGCCCGGAGCGGAGGGCACGCGCTTGGGCGGCACTCCCCAGCCCAGCCCCGTGCCCGGGGCTCTGCGCCTCCCGGACACCTCGGCTCCTCACCGGGCGATGTCGGCATCAAAGGAAGACACGGGGGGGTTGAGGCGCTGGTAGCGGCGGATGAAAGAGTCCTTGTTGATCTCCCAGATCTCCCGGTACAAGTCCCAGGTCTTGAGGTAGGTCTGCAGCAGGCTCGCGTTGCTGGCCATGCCGCCGCTTATCTGGGCCTGGATCTTCCTGATGTCCTCGTCTCGCTCTTCAAGAGCGAGCAAAGCGCGCCGCACTCACCTCCGCCCCAGTCCCGGAGCCCCCGGGCGTTAGTCCCCCAACTTCCGCCCACCGCGGCCCGCCCTCCGCCCTCGCCACCTTCCCCAGTCTGACCCCCACCCGGGGTTTCCCGGCCCCACGTGTCCGTGTCCCGAAGCGGCCCTGGCCTCTCCCGCCGGCCCCGCCCAACCCTGCCCTCCGAGCCCCTGACGCCCCTGCGCCCGGCGCCCTCCCCACCGCCCACTCACCCACGATGACGTGGATGGGGTCGCGCTGAAACTTGCGCCTGATGAGAATTTCAGGGAGGTGGCGGAAGACCGAGATGGTGGAGAAGAGGTGGCTGCCAATGTCGTTGACCACGCCCGCCAGGGTCTGCAGAGAGGGTGAGAATTCCACCTGCGGGGTGGGGGGGAGCACAGCGGAGGCGGCCTCAGCACAGGCCGTGGAGGAGACCAGCCCCAGGACTGGCAAGGTGGAAAAACACCTCAGCACGGGCCCCCGAGGCCCTCAGGATAAAGTCGAGGCCGAGGGCCAAGTTTCAGGATTGAGGGAAACGGAAAATAAAGTTTGGAGTTGTGGAGCGGCAGGGGTAGCGGCCCCCACCTGCGCCACACCTCCCTGTAGGTCGTTCTGGAGGATGACCAGCACTTGGAAGAGCGGGTTCGGCATGGCCTTTCCATCCCCGTTGATGGCCTTGGACAGTTCCAACAGCGACCACTTCACGTTGAGGCGCAGGGCATCCTCCATCATGCGGTCCAAGCGAATCGTGTACAGTATCCATTGCTGCTGGATCTGGCGGGGAGCGTGGGGTGGGGGCGGGGGGGACAGGGAAACCCTCAGGACACACGGGGCAGGTCCCGGGAGAGAGAACCAGCCAGCGGGGAAGGAAACGAGCCCGTAGGCTGCAGAGTCCCGAAGGAAGAAGGTTGGAAAGGTGGAAGGTTGGGCGGAAGCAAGACTGGAACGGGACATCTGAGAAGCACCCACTAAGGGTAGGAGGCAGAAACCGCGAGACAGGTCCGGTGGCCCCGGTGGCGGAGGGGGGGGGGGCTCGCTGAGCCACAAAGCCCTGGCCAGAGGACCCCCACCTCAGGGCCGTCGTTCTTGAAGACTTCGTAGGAGTTGGTCATGATGGCCACCACGTCCTGGTACAGGCCCATCAGTTTCTGCTGCACGGCCACCCGGTGCTCCCTCTGGTCCTCCTCGAACTCCAGGTCCCTGTACACCCGTTTGCCGCTGATGCGCACCAGCAGCGTCTCGGATATTTCTTGGGCTCGCCAGCCGATGGTCAGAGTGGAGGCCTTGAAGTCATTCACGATGGTCTGCACCTGTGGGCAGGCCACACCCGTGGGGGAGAGACCCACGGCTTCAGCGTGGGGAGAGACCCTCCCCGCTTAGCCCGAGCCCCTCCACCTGTCCTCTGGCTAGAGTGGCTGATGTGAAAAACAAAAACAAAAACAAGAACAAAGGACAAGTCCTTCCCTGAGCACGCTTTGCCTCTCTAAGCACACACACCTCTCTCTGTCTCTCCGCCACCACCCGAGACTCGGGCCCTGATGATTCACGCAGCGGCCTCTGGGTCAGCCTCGCAGACCCTCCGAGTCTCAGGACCATGACCCACCTTGCTGGCGTGGATACGGCACTCCGTGATGAAGAAGGCGCTGGCCCCCTTCAAGGCCCAATGCAGTTTCTTGAGTCCAGGGCGGATCTTCTTATCCAGAAATCGGATACGTTCTTTGAAGAGGGCCTGCTCATCTGGGGACAGCACGGCGATGATCCTGTGTGCGAGGGAAGGCTGGCAGCCGGCCGGACACACGCTGCAGACCCCTCCCCCACACCAGGACACTCGGTGGAGAAATCTGAAAGTTCGCGAGCTGGGCTGTGTTTTCCAATAAAACTCTTGGCGATAATGGAAACCCTTCTACAGTTTGTGCTGTCCGGCAGGGTCACCACTAACAACATGTGGCGGTGGGGCACTTGACATGTGGCCTGTGCGAGTGAACAGCTCAATTTAAAATTCTTATTTAATTCCAACTAATTAATTAAAATAGAAAGAGGGGCGCCTGGGTGGCTCGGTCGGTTAAGCGTCCAACATCAGCTCAGGTCATGATCTCACGGTTTGCGGGCTCGAGCCCCGCATCGGGCTCTGTGCCGACAGCTCAGAGCCTGGAGCCTGCTTCCGATTCTGTGTCTGCCCCTCTCTCTGCCCCTCCCCTACTTGCACTCTGTCTTTTTATCTCTCTCAAGAATAAACATTAAAAAAAATTTTTTATTTAAAAAAAAAATAGAGCCAAGTGCGACTGGTGGCCACTATACTGGACAGCGCGGTTCTAGACAGACACTCGAACTGTGGTTCCACCCACTTGGGCTTTAACCGGGCCCAGAAAGGTACCCGTCCCAGAACAAAGCCTCACTCCAGAGACAAGTACCAAGGGTATCAAGAAAAGGGTGCCAGCGTGGCCTTGATTCTATATATCTGATATGACACTGTGCTCATAATCCTAATGCCCCCAGTTTCATTCCTGGAAAAGTGACCTAGGCCCGCGATATACGTGGTCCAAGTGCCCTGGGGGGTTGCAGGGGACCCGGTTGTTTTTGCCCTCTGCTCTGAAGCTAGAAGATAAAAGCAAGGGCCAGGAGCAATCACGGGGCCATACCAGAGAACAGGAGAAAGCTTTTTGTTTTTGTTTTTGTTTTTTTTTGAGCCAGTAAAAGGTAAAGGACAGATAGTGTAGGAGCTAGATGACATCATGGGGCAGATAAGACACAGAGGGGGCACAGAGTGCACGCGGGAGGCCGCCTTACCGATTGTAGTCTCGAGCCACCAGGAGCAGGTTTTCCCGAAGAATGCGCAGGTCCTCTGCTCGCTCAACGACATTCACCACGTAGTGGGGGGTCTCAAAGAGCAGCCTTTCCCAGTAGTCGATTTCCACAAAGAGAATCAGCAGGGACCTAGGGGCAAGGGTGAGGGGAAGTAAAGCAAAGCAGCTCAAGTGCCTGACCTAGACTGGGGACCCCAGGCCCAGCTGAAGGACAGGGTAACATACTGACAGAAGGGGACATTAAGGGCCCATATGCACAATGAATGTTAAGACACCCCCCCCCCCCGCTTTCTTTTCCCCCACCCAGCAACCGGCTCTCAGGCCACTGGATCAGCACCCTCCAGAACAAAGTTTGAAAGACTATTTTCTTTCTTTTTTTTCCTGTTTTGTTTTTTTTTTTAATGTTTATGTATTTATTTTGAGAGAGAGAGAGAACATGTACTCACACATGTGCGGGGGAGGGGCAGAGAGAAAACCAAGCAGGCCCCACGCTGTCAATGCAGAGCCCGATGCGGGGCTCAAACACACAAAACAGTGAGATCATGACCTGAGCCAAAGTCAGACACTCAACCGACTGAGCCACTCAGACTGTTTTCTGTGACCTCTGGCCAACCTGAGAGGGCAAGTCCCAAGGACAGTGATCTCAGGAGTCCCCTGAAAACAGCCCACCAGATAAACCTGAGGCTCACTGTTGATTAGCCCCACTACCTGCTCACCTGCTCAGCCGAGCATCCAATCTGCTTTCCAGCTCCCTGTCCTTAAATATGGACAACCAAGGATCACAAAACATTAGTCTCTGTCCTTCCTGGCACAAGAGGCAGGGACCAAAACAAACAAACAGAGGAAGGAAAAAACAAAAGGCAACGAGAAGGAAACAAGAGGGGACAGAGGCCACAGAAAGACGACGGTCCACACCAAGTAAGAAAACTAAATGCAACTGTCGCTAACACCCTGAGAGAGATAAAAGATACAAAAGAATATCCGTGAAACAAAACCAAGATGCTTTAGAAGGGAACACCTAAATGGTTCTTGGAAGTTAAAGACGATAGCCGAAAACAAGCCCATTAACAATAAAATTGACAGAAATCTCTTGGAAAGTAAAGAAAAAGACACAGAGATGGAAGACAGAGAGGACTTTGCAAGGGGGGGGAAAAAAGCATAGAAAACTCACCATTAGTAAGTTTTATATTACACGCTGGAATGATAATACTTGGGGAATATTGGCCTGAGTATTAAAATTGACTTCAGGGGCACCTGGGGGGCTCAGCTGGTTAAGTGTCCAACTCTTGGTTGGACTGAGCCAACTCTTTTGGCTCAGGTCATGATCTCACAGTTTTGTGAGTTCGAGCCCCACAAAAGGCTCTGCACTAACAGAGCGGAGCCAGGTTAGGATTTTCTCCCCTCTCTCTCTCTGCTCCTCCCCAACTTGTGCTCGATCTCTCTCAAAATAAACAAGTAAACTTTTTAAAACTTTGATTTCAATTGTTTCTTGTTCCTTTGTTAAACGCAATGCCAGAGAAATCTAAAAAACAATTTTTTTTAACGTTTATTTGTTACTGAGAGACAGAGAGAGACAGAGCATGAGCATGGGAGGGGCAGAGAGAGGAGGAGACACAGAGTCGGAAGCAGACTCCAGGCTCCAAACTGTCAGCACAGAGCCCGATGCGGGACTCCATCCCACAAACCGTGAAATCATGACCTGAGCCGAAGTTGGACGCTCAACTGACTGAGCCACCCAGGTGCCCCAAATGCCAGAGAAATTTTAATTGCATTTGTGGCCCTCCTACCCAGTGAGCTTCAACCCCTTCCCTTCCAGCCAGCCATCATTCCCAGGTCCTGTGTCCTCCACCTCGGGGATCAGCCACTCAGACTTGGCTCTGCCGGAGCCCAGCTGCCCCGCCCCCCCCCCCAGCCCTGTCCAGGGACTAGCCCTCAAGCCCTCCCAAAGGACCTGCTCTTTGACCTCACAGACACCTTCAGACCACTGACTCCGGGCTCTCTTCCCAGCTATGTGTCCCCTCCCATCACTGCCTCCTCCACCACAGACCCTGCCATCTGTCACTTCCACCACCCTCCTGCCATCCTCACCGGCTTGGCTGGCTCATCAGTGTAAGCCACCTGGCGGAACCCCCACCCTGGCTAAATCTGTTGTCATCCCCGCTGCGCACCCGGACGGCGGCCGAGCGAGGCGGGACCACACAGATGGGCGCACCGAGGGCCCTCTACCCTGCATCCTGGATGTCTCCCCGGTCTGCCCTCCCTCCTGCTGTCACACCAGAGCCTCCCCACTCTCTCAGATCTACCCCCCCTGCCCCCGTCTCTGTGGAAAGTCTCACCTCCTTCAGCACAGAGATCCAGGAGCCATGAGGCGAGCACTTGGTGTCCCTCCTGCTACGAAACCTACGAGCCTGAGTACTCGCATCACACACAGGGTTCCTCCCGTTTCTGACAGAAGAAGCCCTCCTCCCACCCAAGGCTGACCCTCCTCCTGGGCTCCGCGTCCTAACCCGGGGTCCTCCTGCTTCCTCGACCTGCCAGCTCCGTCCATCAACAGTCAGGGAAGGCCAAGTTCCTACAATCTTGGAAAAACTGAAACAAAACCAACACACGCACACCCACCCTCCTCTCCCCACCTGGCCCGGACTCCACCTCCTCCCGCGGGTACCGCGCCCTGCACCCCATTAACCGCCCCTTTACCACACACCTTCCACACAGAACTGTCCTCGCAAACTCCTCGGTCCCCTCACCTCCACACCTGCCCGCATCAAGTCTCCCCCAGACATCTTGTCACCAAACCCTGCCGGCCTCCTCAGGCCTGGCCCTGCCTCCTCTCTCTGCAGGCCTGAACCTCATGCTGGACTCCTCCCTGCCTTGCCGTCCTTGGACACGCTCTTGTCTCGCTCCTGGGCCACAGCTGTCCTTGTGGCTGCCCCGCCTGTCTGTAGAAGTGTCCTTCTCTTTCTAGTGTCCCCTGGAAATGCCACTCAGCTAGGCACTGGACACTCCACACTGTCTTCAGGAGCGAAGGCTCCTGGAAGTCCTGCACGTCCAGCGCTCTCCCTGGGATGATCCTGTCCATGCCCAAGGCTTCAGCTGCCTTCTAGAAGCTGCTGGCCCCCAGATCTATAGAGCTAACGTGAGGTCTAGGCTCGCACGCCCAACGGCCTCCTAGATATCTCCCCACCTTGCCCCAAGTGCCTTGCACACGTCCAGAAACAAGCGCATCGTGCGCTCTGCACTTGGGGTCGGGAGGGGGAGCCCCTGTCTCGGGGAACAGCGCCGTCCTGCTGCCTGAACCAGAGCCTCACCTTCCAGCATCCAACCAACCACCGACTTGGTCGGGTTTTATGGTCAGAGCAAAGTTCGGAACTTCCGCTGTCCCCAAGGCACATGTCCCCCAAGTGCGACGCGCGGTGACAGCTGACATCGGCCTGAAGTTGCGTTCAACAGCGCAAGGTCATCTAAAAGAGTCAAGGCTCCAGGCACGGGCCGCCAGGTGGGGAGGAGGGGCCCAGCCCAGCCCGAGTGCAGGGTCTGACTCTTCAAGAGAGGCCAGAAAGCCAGTTTTTATATCGAATCGCCTGCATTTTAAGCGCTGACGACTAATTCAACTGAGAAATAATTACAGACGGGAGGCTTCTGAACTGCCAGCAACGTGCTCTCCGTGAGCTGGGCCATCGCTGCCAGGGCATTTATTTCGTGCCCGTTTGTTAAAGTGGTAGCATAAGCTTCAAGTACTTGTCTGTGTGCACGATACACCTCACAACAAGAAACGCTATTTGGAGGGGAAAACTATTTTAAACCATGAGATTATTTGTAAAAGTGGCTGGGTACAAAATTCGCTTATTAAAATCGCAGTCTTCCAATAGAAAAACTGTAACCAGTTGGAAATTATCGTGGAGGAAAAGAGACCCAGGACAATTAAAGCAAGAAAAATAAAGTACAGGGCGCCCAGGTGACTCAGTCGGTTGAGCGTCCGACTTTGGCTCAGGTCATGGTCTCGTCACTTGTGGGTTCCAGCTCCTGCGTAGGGTTCTGTGCTGACAGTTCAGAGCCTGGAGGCTGGTTCGGATTCTGTGTCTCCCTCTCTCTGCCCCTCCCCCACTCGCTCTGTGTGTGTGTGTGTCTCTCTCTCTCAAAAATAAACGTTAAGGGGCGCCTGGGTGGCGCAGTCGGTTAAGCGTCCGACTTCAGCCAGGTCACGATCTCGCGGTCCGTGAGTTCGAGCCCCGCGTCGGGCTCTGGGCTGACGGCTCGGAGCCTGGAGCCTGTTTCCGGTTCTGTGTCTCCCTCTCTCTCTGCCCCTCCCCCGTTCATGCTCTGTCTCTCTCTGTCCCAAAAAAAAATAAATAAACGTTGAAAAAAAAAATTTTTTTTAAATAAACGTTAAAAAAATAAAATAAGATAAGATAAATAAAATAATTAACGAATTAACGAGAAATATTTATATATAACATTTGTATGGAAACAAATTTTTATATGTATTATGACGTTTCTTGTTAACCGGTTATTTGGGAAAAAAACGATTTATAGACATTTTATATGGATTCAAATACATTGAAAGAAAAAATGCTATTCTTGGGTAGAAAGACTCAAATCTTAAAGATGTTCATTCTTCTTAAATTAACCTATAAATTCAACCCAATCCTTGTTCCTATAAAAATAGGCACGGAACTATTTGTGGAATTACACAGATTGATTCTCAAGTTCTTACGGGAAATAAATACTAAAAATAACCCGGAAAATTCTGAAAAGGGAGAGCGATGAGGTCAGTAAGTAAGCAGTTTGGTTCCTTCCTATGGACAGACAGACAGACAGACAGACAGAGAGACCAGAACAGAATGGTGAATCCCAAAATAGACACACAATTCTATTCGGGAATTTGTTTTATGATGTAAATGAGATCAGGTCACCTGGCCAGCCACCTGAGGACTGAACAAAAAAACAACCACCCAAGTTGCCCCTGAACTTGTCTCCCTCCATCAAAATAAATTTCAAACGGATCAAACATCTAAGTGTAAAGGATAAAATACAGAAGGAAACATAGAATATTTTCAAAATAAAAAGCCTTGAATAAAAATGACCTGATGTTTAAAATCCGTGTGGTTTTTTTTTCTTTCTTTCTTCCTT